GAATCATTTCACCAGCAGGCACTTAAATGTCTTGTACCATCAGACATATTAAATACTTTGAAAAATATTATAGGAGTTAGGTGTGAATTTCTGTAACTTTGGGGAGTATTTTTGGTTCGGTTAGGGGTTCATTTTTTTTTCTTTGTTTCTATTTTGCGTTTCCTGACACATGCCAGGATCAGGAGAGAGAGAATAATCAGAATCACTGATATAGTTACAGATACAAATTCATGACTTTGAGCTATTGGACGAACGCTAGCGTTGGGATGTGGCTTATAGCTTCATAAGCATTAAATGATGGGGGCTGAACCCCTGCATTTACAGACGACAGAAGAGTAAATTTATAAACGAAAAGACAGAAAAGTTTGTATAAATATCTGTGAAGAAAGCTGCCATGCAGGCAAGGGCAGGGGACAGGAGAGGGGGACACAGGGGACAGGAGAGGGGGACAGCGCTCAGCCTACTCTTCACATCTGCAGATGTCTTAAGTAGATCCCAGGGAAGCTCAGCACACCGGTTAGCAGGTCAGACACTCCTGTGCCTGGGCTGTCAGCTAGGTTCCCAAACAGCCCAGCAGCTCTGGATGAGGCTCTGACAAAGACCACCTCAATCCCTGCCCTTGGTTTTTTAATGCAATTGTATTCATAGAAACTTCAAAGTCTCTTACATGCGTGACAAACATTCTACACTTGTATATACACTGAGACATTTATGGTTATAAATAGGCTTAGTGCCTTTGTCATATCGTTAAGACATGAAGATTTTGCAGGGATATTCCGGCTGGAGTCGGAAGCCTCCTTCCAAGCAACTGAGCAGCTAAGTCTTAGAAAATCTGTCAGGTCCAGCACTGTAAGCGTGCAGTCCTGGCTGCTCAGGGAGGCTGGACAGGAAAAGTGCTCAAGCCCTGTTGGGTTATAATGTGAGTTCAAGGTTAACCTGAAAATTTAGTGAGACCATGTATCAAAATAAAAAGTAATGGGGCTAGAGAGATGGCATGGCAATGGCGGCCCTCGCTGCTTTTGCAGAGGACCTGAGCCTGGCTCCCAGCTCTCACACCGGGCGGCACGCAGCCACCTGGACCTCCAGCTCCAGGGGGTCTGGTGCCCTCTTCCTGCCTCCAGAGGTATCCATTCGCACTGAGTGTACACACAGACCTGCACACACATAGACAAGTGGATAATGAAAGAACTCTTTAAAGAGTAAGCAAATAGCAAAGGGTCAAAAGAGATAGGCACTTAGCTCAGAGGGCCGGTTCTTGCCTAGTGCCTGGAGTCCGGACACAAATACATACAACACACATACATGCAATTCACACACCTGCCAAATATGTACTCGCGTACAGACACACATATACATATGCACATAGCACACAGAACTGCATGCACACACACATACCAGGAAGCTGAGAGTCGGCAGGAAGGACACGAAAGTTTGCACCCTCGTGACGGGAGCTTTCCGCTGCTCCTAGCTTCTAACCTATACTTTCTGAAGTGGGCCTGGGGACCCCATGACCCGCAGTTTCAAAGTTTTTTATTTAGACTTTTTTTTTCTGAGTTAAACCACCTCAGACTTTATTGTCGGTGAAATTTAAAAGTGTTACCTGACTTTGCAAATGAACTTGTCCAGTAAAACACACACGTTATTTATGTTTCTAGAGAAAAGTCTGTCGACACCTGTTGGGTTACTTCCCCCTCAGAAGTAACCAGCACCTTGTGGAATTTTTGTTGTGTCAATGGAGTATTATTAGGAAGCCACTGGCTGGCAGAGTTCCCCACCTGCCCAGGGCCGCAGAGCCCAGCATTCCAGTGTATAGCACAGGGAAGACGTGGCAGCTGCTCGGGCCACCACCAGGTGGCGCAAACACTTCCATCAAGGCCTCAGTGCCCAAGGTTTCCAGGCTCAGCTGGGGGAATCAAACATTTGCCACCTGGAGAAACACACACACACACACAGCCATGGTGCTCCCAGGATGAGGGTGCAAACACCCCCCCACGGTGCTCCCAGGATGAGGGAGCAATGTATACTTGAGAGGACAGCTTCCGTCCCAGCCACTGGGCCACACTGGGTGGAGAGCACAGGGGCTGGTGCCATCTTGCCGGTGTGGCGGTGAGCAGGGACCTTGGGGGCTTGCCATTCTGTCTCCCTGTTCTGTGGTTGCGGGCATGGGCACCAAATGGCCATCGATCAGGAAGGTGTGTGCCTGGGGCAGACTGGGCATGTGCACTTCAGGTCAGCAGCCATCCCCCAGGGACAGGGGCCCGGCAGCTGCTGCCCCTCCCGACTGCACAGCTGCACTCTCCACCCTGTGCTCTCTGCTTCCTCCTCGCCCAGCTCAGTCCTCCTCGAAGACTGACTTACACACCCCACCAGTGAGCTCACACAGCATCCGGCTTCCGGCCAGGGGTGGCTCAGGGCAGATTCCATGGTTTGGCTTTGTCCCTTCACTTAAGGCTACAACAGCCATCAGGCCTGCTCTGCACGGGTCTGGCCAGGTCTCCTGCCCTGTCACTCCCCTCACCCTTCTTCATCCGTCTGCTCTGAGCCCACTGGAGCACCTTCCCGGCAAGGCCCCCTCGGCTTCCGCATCTTCTTGGCCCTTTGCTTACCATCTTCCCCTTGCCTTCTTCCCTCTCTGAGGGAAGCTCCTCAGCTTCAGGCTGCTTCACTGAGGAGGGGATTTCCTCCTCCAACAGGATGGACTGTCTTCCCCCAGGCGTCCTAAATACTCCCACATCAGTGGCAGGATACTGCCATGGTCCCATTCACTTCTGGTGCCATCTGACCAGTCAAGTTCAAAGCCAGTCAGGAAGCCAACCGGGGCTTTCTCTGGCCGGGATTTGATAGCACAAGCTTCGAGGGATGTTTAACTGGATTCGCAGCACCATCAGTCATTCATCACCAGAGACCCTCATCTGTGTCTTGGAGAAGCAATCTTGTTCGTGCCACGTGGAGCAGAAGAGCCTTGAGGTTTGCAGGGTCCCGGAGCAGACACTGGCCAACTACAGTCTTCACCCTGAAGAACACAGACTGTGTGTGTGTGAAAGAACCCAAGACATGGCAAGGTCGTTCCCCAGTACCTGCCCCAGCTCTGTCCAACAGAGCCTGCTGCAGCAATGAAAACCTGTCACGTGGTGGCCCTTACAGCAGCCACTGGCCACGAATGGCCACTGAGCCTGGAAATGTGCTGCTGTAATGGAGGGAAAAGACTGTGTCTCCCGTTTACTTTGAGCCCTGCCCTGTGGCCATGTAACAAGCGGGAGTGCTGAGGGGCAAGGCATGCCACCTTGACTTTTATCATTTCACAGAATTCGCTGGGATCCGTGGCGAAGTGGCAGTTTCCGCAACAATGGCAACTTCGCATTTTGGAAGAAAACTTCTCCACACAGGAGATTTTAAGGGTGAGACAGTCCATGCTGCAGGGAGCTTTTAGGGCAGGAAGTAAACAACTCAAAACAGTTCCACTGGGTCCCTGAGATATGACCAGATTCACCCACGCCCTCCTTCCCCAAAGCGTGTCACTCTCAGAGGAGCCACTGCCCAGCAGAGGTCCAGACCAGCAGTCGGGAAGGCCGCTATGCAGCCCCCAAGCCTCGCAGGTTGAGTGGTGTGGCCATTTCCAGATTTCGTGAGCCAGCACCCATCCTTAGGAGGCCTTCTGTGCTGCAGCTGTCCTGGAGTGATTTCTGCTCCTGTACGTGCCCCTCACCCCTCTCCCTGTAAGCACCAGGGAAAACTCGGGGCTCCCCCCGCTGGGCTGTGGTGGCGTCCGCACCTTGATCTGTCCTGATGAACAGACGTTTGTCTTCACAGCGATGATCTTGACTAGTGTAAAAAGCCAAAGTCTGCCTCAGCAGGAGCACAGTTAACATGGGGGTGATTGCTAGCCAGCAGAGAAACCTGTACAAACCAGTTTGGAATGCAGGGTGATAATGGTGGAGCCTCTCGGTTGAGCGTGAGTGCCCTGGACGCAGTGAGGTTCTCTGGGCATATCTACTATGTAAAGGGGATTTGGGAAGGGCAGGACTCCATCCTTCGTCCTAACACAGGAGGAGAAGCCACTGACATCTCCTGACGTCCTTCTTTAAAGCTGCTGCATTTCTAAGCATTGTAAGTCTTTGAATTGCCGCCCAAATCTTAGCATTCAGAAAGGCAGCCCCAGGACTGGAAAACCGGCTCAGTGGTTAGGAGCACTGACTGCTTTTCCAGAGAAGCCAGGTTCAGTTTCCAGCATCCACATGGCAGCTCACAGCCATCTGCAGTGCCCCCTCCTGGTGTCTATGAGCACTGCACACAAACAATGCACACACATAATGTGGGTAAAACACACACACATATATATATAATTTTAAATTTTAAATGTTTTGATTATATATATTTTTAATTATATTTTTTAAATATATATCATTTTCAAAAGGCAGCACCAACTCTCAGCCCTCAGCAGAGATACTTTCTCATTCAGTGGCCAGCAGTTAATATAGTGACTCATAGTCACTCAAAGTACAGAGAATAAGTGACACAAGCTATAGTCATCAGAGAGGAGGGAGGCTCGAATCAGAAATGTCTCCATAAGATCAGGCTGCAGACAAGCCTGTAGGACTTCTTAAACAGTGGTTGATGGGGAGGGCGCCCATTCCATCCCTGGGCAGGTGGTCCCTGGTTCTATAAGGAAGCAGACTTGAGCAGCACCCTCCATGGCCTCTGCATCAGCTCCTGCACCAGGATCCTGCCCTGCTTGAGCTCCTGACTTCTCAGTGATGGACTGCGATGTGGCAGCGAAAGCCCCTGGTAGGTGACCATGTTCCAAAGAACAGCCTATGCCCAGCCACGAGGGGCAGGACTTGTTGAAAAAGAAGAGGACATGAGGTTGGGATGAAGGTCTTGGGGTGTCTGGGAGGAGCAGAAGGAGTGCTGAGATCACAGAACAGATTAAAATTCACTGTATGCACCTGTGAAATTCTCAGAGAATAAATAAAAAATACAATAGAAAAACAGTACACGGCTCTGCTTTCTGGTTGTTTATTAAAGAATGTGTCTCTCTTTCCAGCTCTTTCATGATGATGGCAGAATGTGAGCTTTGTCCCTTATGAGACAGAGTCCACATCAAATTCACCCAAAACTGCAGTGGCAAGGGTGAAGGGAGCCAGTGGGGGTGACGGCCTGCCGGAGAACGTGAGACAGGCACCGTGGCTTTGCCTTCACTTGCTTCAGCCCACTGAGCCCCAAACTGCCAGTCCACTCAGGGGATGCAGTCAGTTCCAACTGCCACGCTCCTGATTCTGTAATAACGTGCAGTAACGTCCCCAGCTATAAAACACACACAACTATCTATGACCGTGATCCCCAGCAGGAACAGCTTGACGGTCATGGCGGAATCCGCTTCTGCCCTCTGTGGGTGAGCAAGAAGGAGTGTCAAGCCATGAGGAATATCACCATGACGGACCCTCAGGTTTTGCTCAGTCACTTTAAGGAATTCACCAAAGCCATGAAACATTTCAAAATCACATTCTTCTTGGAGCATAGGAAAACCGGTTCCTTCTGTCACTATAAAACGCCAGTTCTATGACTCCCACGTGGCCGAAGCTGAGGTCCAGACTCAGGCTGCAGAGGAACACGGCACTGGTTGTGCACGTGCGCAGTCTTTACTACACTAGAGTTACGTTTCTGACCTTCTGAGGACTGGCGAGGTCAAAGGAAACCCGTGGATGACTGGCTGGGCCGGGCCGATGTTTACTGGGTTCCTGGTAACGAGAGCAGAAGGGTCAGTGTGCTCTCCCGAGAGGCAGAGGCACAGGGAGCAGAGATGAACCGTTGTGCAAAACACGCCCTCGCCTCCCCTTTCTTCAGCAATGCGCTCCAAGCCCAAAGAGCAAGCTCACTCTAAGACTCCAAGACCCACTTTTACCAAACCAATATAGATGCAATATAGATGTTTTGTTTTGTTTACTAATTCCCCTGTGGAAGTTCTTGCTTTACCTGGTAGGGCTTTTTTTTTTTTTTCTTTTTAAACATAAGATATTTGTGTTTAAATAACACACATGCCTTCTAAAAGAACAAAAGCAAAACAGAAGAGCTGAATGGAAGTTCTTCACGCCCGGCTCTTCTGTGGCATTGTGTGATGCTGGTTTCTCACTCAGAGACCTTCTAAACTAACCCTGGCTACAAGGCCAGCGACTTCGCCCTAAGGTGACGTGAGCACAAGCCTACCATGCCCATGAGTTTACCCCCTGGGAGACTGAGGCAGGAGAGGCAGGAGTTCAAACTAGCAACACAGTGAGACCCTGTCTCAAAAGCAAAGAAGTTCTGAACACCATTTTCCCTGCCAGCCCTGGGCAGCAGTCCAGAGGGTGGGCCCAGCGAGCGTGGCGGCCATCTTAAATAATGCAGTGGGGCAGGATGAATTATTCATCCCGGAGTGAGTTATTCCCGGGGAGTGTTGTGGGTCCCGAGTGGGAGCTGTCGCGAGCTGCTCTGCGGCTTCCATCGACAGACTCCCAGGAAGGCCGGGAAGCTGCTCGGCGATGGAGCGTCTGCGCCAGGGTCTCTGGGGGCACCTTCTGCCGGCAGTGCTGCGGGCTTTGCAGTGTTTGCTTCTGTCTGTGCTGCTGGGTTGCACAGATGCCCTCCGCTTTCTAAATTTATCACAGGTTTACTTCTGTTTATCGCAACAGGAGGAACGGATTAGTGGAGAAGGCTCAAGCCGAGTTATGAAACATTCATGTGCCCTCGAAAACAGAATGGTAAAGAGATGGAACTGCTAAAATAAGAAAAATCAGAAAGACTGACTGATGGCAAGTGACGGCCCCAAAAGAGAAGAGTGGCCTTTTGTGTTAAGCGCTCACCTAGGTACAAAGCCCGTGGCTTTAGACCAAAACAAAGAGTTCTCCTGTCCCGTGGGCTAAACTCACAATTAAATCCATGTGCGTTCCGTCCTAAGCTGTGTGGCTCATGCACACCTGTGCTACCTCTACCACCGCAACGAGCACTCAGCCAGCCTGTCTCCCCTACCTCAGCCACTAACCAGCGTGTCTCCCCTACCTCAGCCACTAACCAGCGTGTCTCCCCCCTACCTCAGCCACTAACCAGCGTGTCTCCCCTACCTCAGCCACTAACCAGCGTGTCTCCCCTACCTCAGCCACTAACCAGTGTGTCTCCCCTACCTCAGCCACTAACCAGCGTGTCTCCCCCCTACCTCAGCCACTAACCAGCGTGTCTCCCCTACCTCAGCCACTAACCAGCGTGTCTCCCCCCTATCTCAGACACTAACCAGCGTGTCTCATACCCTACCTCAGCCACTAACCAGTGTGTCTCCCCCCTACCTCAGCCACTAACCAGCATGTCTCACCCCTACCGCACACCCCGCCGCGGCAGAAGCCAGCAGTGCAGAGCAGCCACACTTGGCGTGTGGCCATTTTGATAATCTCTTTTTTCTTCTACTTCTTCTAGACATTCGATGCCTGAATTGGGCTCTGCAGCCTGAGATCTATGCGTCCACCCATGTTGACTGTGGTGAGTCTTAGGGCACATCTAAAACACTCAAGACTGAAAACAATTCTGCTGCGGATGGTGGGCTGCCTGGTCCTCGAGGCTTTGCACTTGGTGCTGACCCAGAAGCAGGAGACACTCACTGCTGTGAGTGCACACGAAATAGTTTAGGAGGCTCCTGGACCTCAGGATGCTGCCTTAGAAACAGGCTACCTGTGTCGACAGGAACATGTTCCCCAAGCCGGTCACTTGGGGAACAAGTGAAACTGCCAGTTCTTGGGCCTGACCTTGTCTGGGCAACCTGCAAGAGCCCTAAGAGTTTGCACAGGCACCCCAAGTGCTTCGGGGTATGCTGAACTGAGATATCAGGGTACCAGATGCGGGTCAGCAAGCATTCTTCAGGAATTCCAACACCCAACATCTGGAAACGCACCCCACGTTTCTATCAGGGCATGGCCTGAATCAGAAGTATACATTCCTAAGACAAACCCGTGGGGCCGAAGAGATGGCCAGTGGTTAGGAACATGTCCTGTTCCTGCAGCAGGCCGGGTCCCCATCCTAGCAACCACACAGCAACTCCCGGTGACCCATAACTTCACTTTCCAGGCACCATGACACCCTCTTCTGGTCCCTGGGGGCAATGCACAGACATGATACACATGGGCAAAACACTCCTACACATAGAGCATACAAATCTTTAATACTCCGATACTCCGGGAAGACCCCACATGGGTCTGAGGTTGAGAAAAAGGATCTCCAGGCAACAGAGGGCTAGGTGTTCTGAAAGCCTGCATCTTCCCCCTTGACAGAGCTTGCATCTTCCGTGGCAACTCACTGTTCTGAGGCTCCTGGCCACGGTGGCTGTGGCCACTGTGGGGTATACCCCTAGCTTGACCTGTCCCCTAAGACTCTGTCCCTCCGACAATCCTTCACCCTTCTGAAGCCTCACAAGGACTCTGCACTGACACTATCAGAGGACCACCAAGGATCTGACTGAAGAGCATGACCCCGACCCCCCCATGACTTCACCGTGCTGGACACCAGCACTCTAGACCTCAACCGGAAAGATGGGCAGCAAAGGGCTCTGGGAGCCGCTCTGTCAGAAGACGGGGTCTCCTAGCCTTCTGAAACTGGGCCTCCTGTATGGTATAGGCTGGAGAAAGGCCAGGACGAAGATGCACAAGCAGCTCTCACCAGCCTGGAGATGCAGGCGTGCAGAGCTTGGCGGTGCCAGAAGCCGAGCACTGACAGAAAACAGCTGAACAGCCCTGAACACCGCTGTCTCTTGAGCTGTATGTACATAGCCCTGAGCTCCTGCTTGGCAGCTGCCATTTACAGAACCAAGCTTTGCCTGCTCCGAGGCCTATTAGCAACAAGCAGGAGCTGCTGGCACCCTGTGTCCCCATGGATAAGCCATTTACCTGGTCCCAGGAGCTCCCCAGCAACCCCAACTAGGAAGGATACCAGCTTTGGGCTGCCCCAGCTAGAGAGCTCAGACCAGTCTCCTCAGACTATGATCTGGGTGGAATAGGGATCTGCAAAGCCATCCAGCCTCCAGCCAACAGCCCTGAGCCCTCAGAAGCCGGCACCCCACGCTGGAGAAGAGCTGGGGCCACTATTGATGCTGAGGGGGGCACATGTACAGACATGCCCCATGGCAATGTGAGGGGCCACGTGCAGGAGACAGAACAGAGGCTGGAAGGACAAAGGACAGACTCTCCCCGACCTTTCCAAGAGCACAGTGCAGGGCTGGAGAGGGTTAGAGGGCGGAGGGTATCCAGACTATCCCATCCTCCCAGGAAACCACAGCTCTGAGCACAGTGCCCGTCACCCTCCAACAGCTCCCAGATAGGCTGGGATGTGGGGCTGGTCTTCAGGGAGCACCGCAAGGTTCCCTCCTTGCCTTGCCTCTCACCAACAAGAGTCGCACATCATGCTTGCAGCTGGATGAAAGAGAGCCCCTTGGCTGCCTGTGTCCTTACCAACCTGTGACCCCGCCCAGGGAGGGCCACCAAGACTGTATACACACCACCCCACAGCTGCCCAGCGTTCCCTTTAACGGCCACCTCCTGGTCACCAGCGTGGCGCTTCTAAAGAAAGCCTGCCTCCTTCCCCCCTCCTAAATCTCCAGACCCATCCAAAGATACACAAGCTTTGTTGAGAAAAGCTGACCTCTTTGTCCTCCTGCCACGTAGCCTGAGGACATGACCACAGTGTGCAGCAAGGGCCAGTAGTCGATCCCCGACACCCACCTCCATTTACACCACAGATGAAGACATAGTCCCCCCCCATATCGTCTCAGCTGGCTCCCTGTGTTCTCCTAACACCACCTAGATTCCCAAGCCACCTTCCTGAGCATCCGTCAGAGCCTCCCACCCACCTAAAGCTTCAATGGTCTGTGTCAGCGACAGAATGCAGGCAGGCAGCTGAATCCCAGAGGCAGGGGGAAGAACACAGCCCAGAGCCTCCTGGAAATCCAAGCCGCCCCATGTGTCCAAAAAGAATGGTCACAGACCACAAAGGCACTCACACGAGGTGCCATCACCAGAAGCCGACAGCCACCACTGCACAGGTCAAACCATCTGTGAGGGATGTGGAGATCTGAGGCAGCACCCCCAAAATGGATGAGAAGAGCACCCCCCCTGACCGGGGACCCCAGAGTGGGATTCCCTGCAGTGCATCTTTCTAGGAGTTTCACTGGTACAGGTCAGAGAAAGTTGCTAGTTTTCTTTCCTAAAATTTCAAATATAAAAAATTTTCTGCATGTTAACTCCAACTCATACATGTATGGTAACCAGTCCTGACTCTTAGAAAACGAACATACTGTGTTCTCACAGTTCCCAGTTTTAACTGTCTTGTCCATCAAACACACAGACTTATACATTCAACTGCAGTCTCCCTGACAGCATTTCATAGAGAGCTCAGAAACGCTCTCTCTCTCTGTTCCTGTCTCTCCCTGTCTCTGAGTTTGTCTCTCTGTCTCTCTCTCTGTGACTCTGTCTCTATTTCTCTCTGTCTCTCTGTCTCTATCTATCTCTGTCTCTCTTTGTCTATCTCTCTGTGTCTCTCTCTGTGACTCTCTCTGTCACTCTCTGTCTCTATCTCTCCTGTCTCTCTCTCTGTAACTCTCTCTGTCTTTCTCTGTGTCTGTGTCTCTCTGTCTCTCTCTCAGCAATCTCTGTTGATGACAGCTCCAACCTCCAAGTGGTTCTACACATGTTCCTGACCAAGAACTCTTCCCTTCTCCACCCACGGTCCAGTCCCAGCAGAGAGAGGTTCCCGACTCTCAACCTCACAGCCCAGAAAGCCACATTTATTCTCCTGGTTTTCAAACCCGGCAGTGAGCATTCTTCCCTGAGATGCACAAGGCCCTGTTGTGGGCACAGGCTACACAGATTCCAAGTAGCCAGGGCAGCTGGGCTAATCCAGGCCTAGAGATGCTTGTCAAAGAGAACAAACAGCAAGGTGCATGTTGCTCATGACCTGTTGGCTCAGGTGAGTATGCCCCAGTCAGAGTACATCTAAACCATCAAACCAGACCTACAGCCACAGCCTCAGAAAAGCAAGGGCTCCTTCCTTTCTGTGCCCCATCCCTGACAGGCTGTCTGCTTGAACAGAGGTGGGGAGGAGAGCCTTTCTTCCACTGTGAATATTCAACACAAACCTACCGCAAGGTTTGCGGTTTTAAATGGCAGGGGGGAAAGTCCAAAATGTTCTGCCTCACCTGATAACGAGGGCTGCTGCTGTGATGTTCTGGAAGGCTGACTTCAGCGGGCTTGGGAGGGAGAGAAGCAATCTCTGCAATAGAATTTTGTTCAGTGTAATACATGATTTTTGTTAAGAAACCAGGTTGTATATTCTAATAACTAATTAGGACTTCTGAGTAAGCGTATTTGCTCCTATGTAGTTCTGGCATAAAATAATCTCTGCAGTTTTAGATCTGGGATGTACCCCAAGGCGCATGTATTAACGACTTGGGGCAACTTGAAATGATGGTTCCTTTACGGGGGGGGGGGCAGGGGCACCTAGGGGGAAGAACTCGGGTCACAGGGAAGATGACCTTAAACACAATGCCGGACCCTGCAGTGAGTGTTCTTCTCCATGACGCCCTGTTCCACAGGCCCAATCCTTTGGAACATGGAGCCAAAATTAATCTCTCCTCCTTGTCTTGGCTGTCTCACACAGCACCCCATGGGTGGTGGAAAGTTGATGACAGAGTTGTGAGGACACGGCTGTTTATCTCTCTACATGATAGAAGTTTAGAACTCCGTGCTTTGGCATGTGCGATAAAAACAAGGGAAACTGACTTCAAAATCAGTTCCTTTCTCCATACATTAGTCTCATCTAGACACAAGACGACCCAAGGCCTCGGCAGCTGGCCAAGGAGAACAGACACTGGGCAGGGCAGGGGTGGGGCGGAGAGCTTAAGTTCAAGCCATGATTGTGAACACACTACTTGCAAAATTCTCAAAATACTAATAAATAAAATAAAGCTGGGCTTCTCCGGCAGCAGCCCATGCTTTAGGAGCTCCTCAACATGACACACAGAAGCTGGGATGCACAGGGAGGCAGCCTGGTGAAGTCGAAGATGGGGACACTGAGAATTAAACCCCAGTGTCGCAAGGGCCCACCGCCTTAGGGTCTTTCCTTGAGACTTGCTTTGCCAGCCCATGTGACAGAGACATCCTTTCTAGGCACTAAGAATGGTGTGTGCCACCTTTTCTCTTTCAAATCCTACTGTTGGGACATTGCCTACAGAGAGTCCCTACCCTAAGTGACAACCCAAAACGAGACCCTGCAAAAAGGCTTCACAAAGTAAAACAACTTCTTCTTCTTCTTCTTCTTCTTCTTCTTCTTCTTCTTCTTCTTCTTCTTCTTCTTCTTCTTCTTCTGCTGCTGCTGCTGCTGCTGCTTCTGCTTCTTCCTCTTCTTCTTCCTCTTCCTCTTCTCCTTCTCCTTCTTCTTCCTTTTTTTTCTTTTCTTCTTTCTTCTTCTTTTGCCGTCCAATAACCATCCCATCTATCTGACCCATGAGGAGCAGAGTTCTGTGTGCCAGTTATACTTAAATCAGGTTGAGCCTGCAGTAAGTTAAAGAGCCATCTGATAATTTTAAAGAAAAAGTACAGAGGAGGAAAAGTCTTGAAAGTTATATTTTTTAATATTCATTCTATTTAAGCTTTAAGCAGGCCGGAAGCTCTCTACTTCTAAATCTACTCGTAGACTACTCTAAACTCTAAAACTCCTCCTAAAAAATTATCCAAACACTGACTGCTCCCAGAGCCTAGGTTCTCCTGCTTGGGAGGCTGGTGCCATCAGCCCATGTCTTCCTCTGCCCCTCCTGGTACTCACGTGCAGCCCTCGCTTCATCCGAACTGTACCCGTAGTTTTCCTTTCCACTTTTTAACCTTGTCTCAGGAACTGCTTTGTTTGTCCTCATGTTTGTGGATTTCCTGGAATTAGACCATTTCAGTTACATCTTCTGAGCAGAGGTCGACAGCCTGTGTATTCATGCCCACCAGTGAGAGAGGGAGATGGCTCACCATCACAGGTCTGTGGACTCAAATCCCCAGTGGGAGCTCAACTCCCAGAAGCCTTTAAGTGAATCAGGAGTCAGTAACCAGTGACCCCAGGCCCAACCATTCTGCCGTCTGTTGCTGAAACACAGGAACACCTGCCTGCCCTCAGCTTCCAGTGCTGCCTTCACTTCACAACAACAGAATTCAGGGGTTGGAGCAAAGACTTTGTGGCTGGCAAAACCGAAAGTATTTACTCTGTATTCCTTTTCACAAAAGTGAGAGGTCCCCAAAATAAAGCAGAGTTTGGTGCGGCTTTGTAGGGGAACAAAGCTGAGCGGTGGATAACCAGAGGATGAAGAATGTTCATTAACTCCTCAGAGCACCTTCTAAGGAAACAACCATGGCGTGCGTATACAGAGCTGTGCCCGACTGATGGCTCAGACATGAGCCACAGACGACACAGGGGTCAGCATGAGTGAGGACTTCCCTGCTGCCCATACACTCGTGATAGATGAGAGCTCTCACGTCCCCCAGGGGACAGGGGACACTGGACTGCTCTTGTCCAACAGTGGCAACAGTCACAGCTGGACACATCCCTACCCTGTGGCTCTCACTGCTATGGGGGCGGCACAGAACTCTGAGCAGGAGAGCTCTCACGTGCTCCACAAGGACACATAACACTCAGACCGGAACACCCTGAGAACTGCCGGACCCCACATGACGCTGGGGAGAATTAGCCCACATACAGCTACACACGGCTGTGTGTCATTGGAAAATATCCCCACTTACCTGACAGTGTGGATGGGCCAGTGTAAGAGACTCTGGAAAGCAGCCATGTTTGCACAGGAATGTGTGACACTTCTGTGTCTATAATACTGACGTAGACATAATCTTACAGTGTGGGAAAGATGTCGGAGGATGTCTCCTTTGGGGGACAAGGAGACAGCGATCTACGCAAAGTCAGAGAAGACCTTGGGGGACTCTGGTGCACTGGCTCTGGATTTTGGCAGAGGCCACAGCACAGGTGCTTGAGAACACCAGTCACATCACATACACTTTCCTCCTCTCATGCTTGTGGGTAAAATGTCGTGAAACCCATTACTTTATAAAGCAGCTACACTGACGTGAGTGTTTAAAGATGTTTTAAGTTAAGTGTGGGGGAGGGTATGAGCATGTGACCACAGTGGCCATGTGGTGAAATGAGGCTGTCTAGTCCCCTGGGGCTGGAGTTAGAGGTCATGAGCTGCCTGGCCTGGCAAAGCCTGTGCAAAAGCAGCTCTTAACCTCTGAGCCAGCCCTCCAGCCTCTCTGAAAATACGGTTTTAACTCCTATGCTGCTTGCTGATATAGAGTTGTTTATGTCTTGCAAGCAGAAAAGGCAGATAATAAAACTACAAGAACACCTTTCCTCAAACAAATGAAATAAAACCATCCGAAGAAAAAAACTACCAAACCAAAGTGCTATTTGTTAGGCTAGTGTTTGTTAGCAGAAATAATATTCAGAATAGTGTCAGACAAAAAGAACATACTATAAGATAAGGGTGCTATGCTCCAGATTGTACAAAAGCCTGCATGTTTACCTCTGCTTACATACGTGACGCACATGCAGATAAACATAGCTAACAGTAATTACTTCTAGACAATGGATCTACACATGGCATTAACATTGCTTCTCAGACTTATCTGCATTTAATTTCTTTTCTATGCTAAACATATCCTGAATCAAGAAAATATGTGTGGTTGTTTTCATGCAAAAATTGTAGGCGGCTAGAGACAGCAGCATGGATGAATGGAAGGGGAAAGCCGGGAGATGCAGTCAGGCAGAAAGCCACGCCACGTGCCCTAGGACAAGGTCATCCTCGTACAACCAGGAGCCGTACAGACGCGAGGGACCCCTGAGGGGCAATGTCAGAGATCATCAGCCCTCTACCTCAGGACCCTCTGCCTCACAATGGGCCTATAAACACTATGGTGAGAAACCAGTAGGGCTGAAAGCTGTGCACAGCTCAGGACAGCACCCACTGCGGGACGGGCAGAGGGGCTCTTCACTGTTATGCCGTTGCCATGGCTACCCACGTGGCTGTATTGCCAACTGTGAGCCCCACCATTTTTGTTAAGTAGCTGGGTTGCTCACTGTGCCTTGAGACCTTGAGAACAGAATCAGAGGCTGTGGCGACAATCGACCAGGCCCAACCGAGGGTCTGGTCTGTGAACCCCAGGTAACCATAGTCAAGACAAATGCCAGGAAACGTCCTGGGAATTGCTTGCTTGGTCTTCCTAGCCTCACATCAGGCCCCAAAGGGCAGTTTCTAGATTGTTGCTAAGTGATACCTCACAATGCAGCTGCCTTTCTCAGAACCTGTTTTTTACCAGGGCCAGACCTGTCCACGGGACTGTGCATGGTCAAAAGGTTTCTAGTCCCAGAGCCTAGAAGCTTTCTAATATGTAGTAAACACTGGCTGCTGAACGCACGGGCTAGCAGGCATTCCTGTGAGCACACAGGCTAGCGGGCATCCCTGTGGGCGCACGGGCTGGCGGGCATTCCTGTGAATCTGGACTTGGTTCACTCAAAAGTGTGTACAGCTACTCTAGATGGTGGGGGTGGGAGGATTTTCACTCCCACCCTTATAGGCATCTGTCTGCTTGGCTGCTCATGCCCCTGTGCGTCCTCTGCAGGTGTGTTGCCTCATGGCAGGCAGGACCAGGACGGCAGCCACCGACAGTCACAGTGCACAGGGTGCTCTCGTGAGAGAGGCGGGAATGTCAGGTGACTGGGGGCCTGAGGCCCACGATCCACCCACCCGAGTCTCCGCTCTTGCCCAGGCAGCCTGCGGTGTGAGTTCGTGGTTGGCTATTTTTCAGAACGTCTGATTTTAGTACTTACTGGGTAGCATAAGCCCCAACCCTACACTCCCATGCTTGAATGCTGCCAAATGACCATTTGGCTTTCTTTTGGCAAAAAGATGATGAGGTTTCCAACTTACCTTATTTCATTTTGGTAAGTAGATTCTGAAAAATCAAAGAGGGTGGGGAAGAAAATCCCATTAGCAAAACAAGGAGAGTGGTCCTAAAGATAAATTCTCACTAATTTTCTTGACTCCCTGACTTTGAAAACCCTCACTTTGATCCAGTCCATATTCAGTGTGACCCTGCACTGAGTCAGTAAGCGAATAAGCCCGGAAAATGGGTTTGGTTCCGAGGAGTAAATGCTCTGTAGGCCCTAGAAAGGTAGTGGATTCCCTGTGCAGGGGGAGCCCTGATAAATGTGATAGCCAGGCTCCACAAGCTCCGTCACCAGGAAGGACTCCCTACGTAACCAAGCCAGCCAGTAGCCACGTGTGCCAGCCCAGCAGAACTGCCCAAAGCACATTCTCATCGATGACTGCAACATCCAGCGTGTGGCCTCGGGGTCACTGTTCCTTAACAAAGAAGCATTGATGCATCTGTGTTCCATGATGCTAATACCGATTTGAATCAAGTTCTCAGGTGCACGTTGTCTATTCACATCACTGAACACACGTACACACAATGCTGCCACTCCAGCCCTAGCCAATGGTCCCAGTCAGTGGACCCTTGAACTACAGGGAATCCAGAATCCAAAACTTCAAGCCACACGCCAAGCACACCAGTCTGTGGGCAAGAGCAGTGTTTCTTTACAACCTCACTCATAACCAGGACAAGCGTTGCTGAAAAAAATGGAAAATACCCATCTTCACTCTAATAACATCATCTGATTCAGGTCTCAAACTAAATGCAGAACAGTTTAATCTGCATTGAAGGGTTCCTGGTGTCCCTCCATCAGAACCCTCAATGGCGGGACAAGCCACTTGCCTGACGGTGGGGATGGGTGCGGGGCTTGGGTCCTTCCCTCCATTCTGACTTTCCAAGGCCTCCCGTAGGATGAGCAGGACCCTCGTTCATCCTCAGTCAGTTCTCAGAGGCACATGGAGAGTCCCCAGACGCCAGCAGAGGAAAAAGTTTAACACGTTTATGAATTGAAATCATGTTGGGATAACTCAGAAGGTCACTGTTACATCGATATGTAGGAAAATTTCACTGCAGCCACATCTGACCTGGTGGCGTAGGGCAAGCACTGTGACTGGGCTGTGGCTCATCTCTGTTCACAGGCCCAAGCTAGACTTGTTGCAAACAAGAGAGGGAAAGAAAGAGCTCACGCTGGGCTTTTCACTACGAAGTTATGTAAAGGACAAAAGCTAAGATACAGCCCAGAAATATTTCTACTATGTCAGCACACTCGCCTGTAACTCATTGTATAGGCCAGGCTAGCTTCAAAGCTGTGAAAATCCTGCAACCTCAGCTTCCTGGGTACTAGAATTACATACGCAAGTCACTGTACCTGCTCAGGACTCTTAATATACATTCTTAATTTTCATAATGTGATGGCATTTATAGAAAATCAAACTAAAAAGAAAAGAAAAACGACTCAGGTTATCTGGAATAACATTCAGCCACCAGCCTTCTTACGGGGTGAGTGTGGGGCAGACAGGAGACAAGAGGAGGAGAAAATCTCAGGTGTCAGAACGTCTTCACCAATTCCATGAATGCTACAGCTCCTCAGCCAAGCCAGATTCTCATCTGGAGTTCAAAGTCCTTCAACTTCCACTCTCCAAGGAAAAAGACTAACCCCAAATCCGAGTCCGGGCAGAAGCCACAGCCACACCTGCCCTCACACTAGGTGTGCGCTCTATCTGGCACATCTCGCTGAGAGAAACCTCAGGGGGGACATCCCTCACACCCGGTACACACACAAAGTGCTCACAAATTTAACAATGCGAGACAAGTGACAGGCACCCAAACATCGAATCTCGGCTCTTACAAAATATAATTTAACTGTGAGAGTATTCAAGGCAGAAAAAAGACAAAGATTCAGCAGTCAGAAAGTCTGGGCTGTCACACGCCACATCATCCTTAGGCACTGAAGTCTCAAACTGTCAAACTCTGACAAACCACATCATCCTACACCTGACCATCCACCAGCTGCAGCTCCACACAGCTGCGAGCGCCTCCGCGGACTCCCTCACAGGCATGCTAATTTAGCATTTGCCTTGCTTGACCTTCGCCACTGCAGCCTCCCTCACCTACACTGGGCCACTGACATCACACAGGACTGGAAACGACCTGGGGCATATCCTGACCAATGGTATCTGGAAAAGCAACTGCATACTAAATGAATATCCCCACAGAAGTCAAGTAACCCAGGCTAGCACAAAGGTCTCACTCACCACCTCCTCAGATGTGGAAACAGCTGGACTCGGGCAGGTTCCACGGACCCCAGAGCAGTGGTTCTCAGCCCTCCTAATGCTGAGACCGTTTACACAGCTCCTCATGCTGTGGGACCCTCAACCACGAAATCACTAAATTGCTACTTCCCCACCATGGGCGTATGATCATAATACGAATGCCTGCTATGCAGGGCGTCCGACAGTCCACCCCTGAAGCGTCGTGACCCACGGGTTGAGAACCACTGACCTAGAGGACAGGCCTCTCTGCCCTGCATCCTTCCCATGGTTCACCTTTGCTTTGCTCAGCCCCAGCTCACTAAGGCAGAATGGGAGGTGAGAAGAATATAAATCGTAGGTACAGTGTGACACGTTGATATGAGTAGGCACTGGGAAATTACCAGAAGCTGCTCCATACACCATCATTCTATTCTATTGCCTTTTCTAGGGAAAACATTTAGGATCTCTGTTCAAGTCATGATATAGTATGACTAACGCAGGTCTCCAGAACATGCTTGCTCTAACCAAAGCTTGGAAGCCTTTAACCACACCCCAGTCCCTCATCCCCGCCTCTAGAGGCCACCACTCCATTTTGATTTTGTGCATTCAGTTGTCGAGTGTGCCACAAACAGCCACAAGCACACCACACTTGCCTTTCTGTAACTGCTCATTTCTCTTAATGATCTGACTTCATCCTTTCCCAAATAACACTATTTCCACACTTAAAGGCTAAATCATATCCCCTTATGTGAATAAATGTATGTATGTGTATGTGCATAGACATGTTTGTATTGTGTTTGTGTGTGCACATGTGGGCATGTGTGTGTATGCATGTATCCATGTATGCATGTGTATATGTAGACATATGTATGGGTGTTTATGCATGTATATGCATGTGTGTGATTGTGTGTATGTACGTATGAATGTGTATGCATGAATGTGTATGTTTATATGTTGTTTTTAAAGAAAGAAAATCCCAACTGTTTGATTTTTACCAATGAAGACTCAGGAGCCAGATGCTGGGGTGGAAACCTACTAGCTCAGAGAGGCAGAGAGAGCACCAGCTGACCTTCCTACGCAGCTCACAGCCCAAAGGAAAAAGTCAAAAGGCCCAGGCCAAAGCCAGCTAGCTCAGCCGACAGCCCAGGAGGAGACTGTCAAAAGCCCCAGAGCTAAAGAGCTAAAGAGCCAAAGAGCCAAAATGCCCTTCTTCCTTTCCACAATGTCTTAAATATCCCTCAACTCAAAGTCCCTCCTTTCTGTTAATCCCTGTCAGCTGGTTTCTTGCTCTGCCTCTTGATGGAGGGTCAACTTTATTAAATCCTGTATACAGAAGGCTCTTGAATTAAAGGTGTGTGCTGGGGCTGAGCCATATAATAATCTCCTGTTTATAATAAACAGAAAGTTCTTTGGATTAAAGGTGTGTGTTAGGGCTGAACCACACCAAACATAAAACAGGTTTTTACAGTCCACAGTCTTGGGTTCACAATGGAACTAAATATCCTGCAACATTTGTGTGTGTGTGTGTGTGTGTGTGTGTGTGTTACTGCCTTTACACAGTCATCAGTTGATGGACACAGCCTATTTCAATATCTTAGCTGTTGTGAACAGCTCTGCAGTGAATCTGGGAAGGCATGTTTCTGACACACATTTCTATGGACATTCACCCAGCAGGGAGAGCTGGATCACATCTGATTCCATGTTTAGACCTGAAGAACCTCTAAGTCCTTCATGGTGGCCACACCTACTCACATTCCAGCCAAAGCGTGTAAGTTCCCCCACCGGCTCTAGTCCTTTGCCTATGTGGTGACAGCCATTGCCAGGGTAGCGTGCATCACACCCGGGCGAAACTCACCCTTTGAAGAGGTTGGTAAGCTCACTCACTTCAAGTGCTTCAGCTACAAATTCAAAACCCCACAGAGAGTTATATGGAGAAATAATACCTTTCTTTTCTCTCCTGGAGACACAGCAGCAGAATATTATAATCAGAGCAATGATCAGGATCAAGAGCAAGGAAAAGGCCACTGCCAGCAGGATGATGGCCCAGGTCGGCAGCTGTGGGCCTTCCTCACCAACACTGTCTGCAGGAGCAACAGAAAAATAAGGTTTAGTGACCTCTGTACCTTGTGGGCCCACTGATTCTAGCAGACTCCACTTGCCTCCTGTCCTTAGCAATGTAACCTTCAGCCTCCAGCAGGGCGTCCTCAGCCAACCTCCCGCCTGTGTTTTTAATGACTCAGTCCTCAGCAGTATCTCCCATCCAGCGTTTATTGGTACACGGAACTGCTTTAACCAGGATCCAATTATCAGTCGGTTGACACCGCCCACATTCCTGAGAGCTGGATAAAGGGGGACTCCAGCAAGGCAACTCCCAAGGGTTAGCGTCCTAACTACTGTGCTGGCACAGCCTTTGGTTAGCCAACCCTGTAGGCTGGAGAATGGTGAGTTCTGGCACCCAGATTCCCTTGTTCTGTGATTCCACAGCCCAAAGGTAATGGGAGCACCACAGAGAGGATACACCACAAGAGGGAGGACCACAGGAGGGAGTACCACAGGAAGGGCAAAAGCTCTGGTACACAGTGCTCCCCAAGGCCCCACCAGAGCCCACCACTAACACTTTTCTCTACGGTCATGGAAGCTCACTCCAGCTCTTCTGGAGCCAATGTTATTAGTGTCTGCTTTGTCCTCTAATTTTAGCCAGGAGGCATGGAGTTGACAAAGGTAAGGTGAGGCAGAGCAAGCTGAAACAAAAGGGAGGAAAATAAATTTGGATTTTGTAGTCATGTCCTACACATGCTGGATTTGGGTGGTCATGTAAATTCAAATTGTTAATTTGTGTGTAGTTGTACCAGTGGTACCATTTCAAGAGCCATATCAACTCAGAGGGAACGTTCTCACCACCCTTGAAAGTCCTGCTGGGCAGCATGGCCGCTAGCTTATGGGAACGATGTGGGTGACCCCAAGAGAGCCTTAACAGCACTTCATTCCTCCGTGCCTACGAGGAACCACACAAAAGCCAAACCACAGACAACCACATTGATCTGTGGAACTGTGCACTGTATTCAACAAGGTCTGTCAGCCTGCCTCACTGGCAGCTCAGAGAAAACGGAGTGGAGGCTGAAGTTCAAACTACCAGGTTTCCTCTGAAGGAACGCGGGGTTTGCTTTGGAGCCAATGGCAGGAGAGGCTAGCAGTGGGCGCTCTCCCTCTAGAGGCAGTGAGCATCTCTCCTGGATGCTCTCCCTATAGAACTTGAGGGTTGATGGCAGCTGGGGCATGCTGTTCCTGTGCAATGTTAAATGGTCAGAACAGGAGTGGACTGTTTAGAGGAGATCACTTCCACTCAGTACTGAGTCAAGAATAAGCAAGAGCCCGACAGTGTAAGAGACACAGGCCAGCAAGGACCCAGCTTAATAAGCAGCCACAAGCAAGCCTAGAGAGGCAGCTCAGCAGCTAACTGCTTGCTGCTCTTGCAAAGGACCTGAATTCTGTCCCACTTTGGTCAGATCACAAATGTCTGTCACTCCAGCTCCAGTGATATCTGAGGCCCTCTTCTGGCCTCTGTGAGCATTGCACCCATGTGAGAGGGAGGGTGTGTGTGTGTGTGTGTTCTAACCTAGGCCCTGAGAAAGCAAACTCAAGCCCAACCCCCAAACTGGGGCACTGCCATCAGCAATCCTCACAGTTAGAGACTGCAGACCTGAGCATCCCTTGTCATGCCCCCAGGCAAGGAGACCCAAAGCCTGCTCCAGGGAGGCTCCACAGGCACCCCACTTCAGGAATATTATTCAGACCGCTCTGCCCTGGACAGGACATGCCCACGGTCCCAAGAACTCACTAATGAATTCCGAGAGCCAGAGCTACGCTCTTGACCCTCGGCCGAAAAGCACACGGGTGTAAGCAAGCCTCTCAGCTGCCAGCGTGCTGGGCCTCCACAGGGAGAACTGGCCACTCCTGTGGCCCCGTTTACTTTCTGCGTTGCCAGATACAAGGCTGACTCCACCAGCTTGTTCAGACTCAAGAAATGTGTGTGAAAGTTTCCGGGGCAGGACTTATGTGCTCACAACCAACATGGACACCTTACATCAAGTTAATGTGGGCTCCCCTCCCCTCTCCCTCCTCCTCCCTTCCCCTCCCTCCCCCTCCCCTCTCCCCTTTCTCTCTTTCACATACACACACACACACACACACACACACACACACAAACCTAATTTTGCAAATATGACAAGTTTTCATGCTAAGGGAGCTAGCTGGGGTTAGACCTGAGACCTCACTCCTGAGGGAGGAGATAGGTTTGAATTTTCCCTTCCCTGGCACATGTTTATTGACTACTCAAACCCTCCTTGCCCTTGGCCTCTCCTTCCCCTGTCTAACATTCTAACCTTCTGTCAACCCAGGCTGGGTGTAACGACTGAGTAGAGAGAGTGGCAGGGGAGGCCACCTCTAGGGCTGAGTCCTGAGGCGAAGGGCATCTTCACGGTCTTGCTCACTGGCCTGTTCTGTAATTCAGCCTCTGAGTCCAGCCTCACACGACAGCCCCGCCCTGAGACAGCGTGGGCACCATCGGCCAGGCGGTCTGTTTTCCCTTCCTCCTTGCTGTGACCATGCTCCCCTGGGAGCCTTCCTGGGAGTCCCATACTCAGAAGACACGTCATCTCAAAGCTCCTCTAACCCACTCAATCATGTTTGGGGTCTTCAGGAAGCATATGCTGGAGCTGGTATCTTTTCATTTATCTATATGTTTGTGTGTGTACACATATGTTCATACATATACATATGTAAGACGATGACTTTGATAGAAAGTTATTTTTTGAATATGTGCATTCACAGCTGATTGAGAAACAAATAAGAGTCATATTGTCACATCAAAAAATTATAATAGAGAGAAAAACAGGTTCTGGGATGATTCATGGTCCAGGCTGTGCACAGTGTAGATAAGTGGAGGGTAAAAGCCCAGGGAGTTGCCCAGGCTCAGCACAGGAGAGCCAGGGTTCCCAGCCTGCCCCCTCTCTGCCACAGGCTGCGGCTGTGGAAGGATCCATCCAGGAGGATACCGCCCAGGCCTCACGGAGAGGAGGGGACTTCTGGGCATCTTACAGGCACGCCGCTGCTGTGTGCAGGGCAGAGGGCCTGTGACTCAGGTGGGCAGCAGAGCCCTCTACCTCACCTGAGGCTGTGTGCAGGACAGAGGGTGCGTGACTCGGGCGGGCGACACAGTCCTGGGGAAGGCAGGCCTGCCTCACCTGAGCAACCACAGTGACTAAGGAATGTCAGCTCCAAGCCTGGCTCCCTGAGCTCTTCCCATCCCCGAGTGCTCCCCCAGGCCGCATGACTGACTTTACTGCGGGCTTGGGGACTGTCCTTTCCTGGCCTGTGAAGGAAAACATCATTTTCCCAAACATTCTGAGCAGAGCTGGCAGAGTGCTAGAGGTGTTGCATGGAGTGTCTCAAAACCCGCCGCATTGCCGAAAAATGCCAGCACCACGTGCAAAGCCTGCGCCTTCGCCAACCAGGGAGGACATGGCTGCCTGAGCACTGACATAAGCAAAAGCTGCTCGCCGCCCCTCCTACCTGCTCTGGAGCAGGAAGTGAAGGGTCTTGTCTTGGACATTACCTTCTCCCAAATCAGCAGCTCTGGAGGCGTGCACTGAAGCGAGCTCAGCTTCACAGATGACAGCCAGGCTCAGGGTGTTAAGTCACTTCTCCCACCCACAGAGCTGGAGAGTAGGTGCTAGCCCACCCACAGTCCGTAGAGACTGTGGAACCTGACCAGCTAAGGTAGAAAGGGGGGCTTTAGGTTTTAGGCTCACTGCTCTCAACCGGTTATTCGGGGATGTAAAATCCAAATCACCGTATTCTGTGAAAACCAATCAAATGAGAGCTTCCAGAAAGGGAAAGGCCTCAGCATGGGCATTCAGGCTCCCCCAGTGACAGAACAGCTCCACTCATTGCCTGCCCATTTCACACGCAGGAAAGCTGAGCCCCGGAAGTCAGTGGCACGAATAGAGTCCTGTCATCAGGGAGGCTGCGTGGAAATGAAGGTGTCATCAGAGGGTTGCTCCTCAACCCAAGGAACACCAGAAACAACAGAAAGGCACAGAGTGGCTTCTCCTCTGTCACCGCTGCCCTGTTTCCTGTGACCTCAGAGTGGAAAAGGGCTGGTGCCTCCCACCTTCTCTGTTCCTGACCTCGTCCCTTCTCATGGAAATAAGTCATACTAGACCGTTACTTCCCTCAGGATGCTCACGCAGCCCAGAGATGCAGCCTCACGTCACCTACAACCTACAGGAGGACAGCGCAATGGGACCACCCAGAAGGTACAGGGGGGCAGGGGGGCTCCCGAAGGTTTCTCTCTTGGGCATGACAGTGTTGCAGCTATCTCCCCCCTGTGACAGTCCCTCTTGGAAGAAGAAAGGCTCATTACACTCAGGAAGGTGAGGAACGCTGTAGGATCACTAACACTGTCCAGGCTATGACAATTGCTGGAGATTCTTCAGTGTGGCTGCCTGCACGCTGTGCTTTTCACTCTGAGCTGGCTTTTGGCCTCACACTGACGCCGGCTTTTGGTGATGTATTTGAGTCCTCCATGCTCCTGTGACTAACGCAGTAAACTCCCTGGTGTGCCGAGTAGGCTTGGGGAAAGTGGTTTCCTCGGCACAGCCCCACTGCCCTAGTTGAAGTGATCTGGTGTTAGTTCATGTCTCTCCATTACACACAAACAGGCTTTGCTTTCTAATGTTGTGGCTGTCTGCCATCCCGGAGGTTTGTGATTGCAGTAACTAAGAAAACCAGGTTTTCTGTAACTGAGAAACCAGCTCTGAAGACAGGCACTGGCTTCCCACCTGCCTTTCTTGTGGCCTGAGTCTGTCAGAATTCCTAAGCTCACCCAAGGAATTAAAATAACACCCCCCAGCCTTGTGAGTACAGAGCTGAGGAAGTCTTGCAGCTCTCATGTGGCTCACCTGTCCACTCTCTGTGAACTTGACCCCACTTTTCTAGCTCCACAGCCAAGGCTGAATGAGGTCTACAGCTAATGAAACCTGCATCAAACAAAACAAGGAGCCAGATGCTCTGATCTTGATGAATAATTTAGAAACAAATTTCCCTTTGCAAATGAGTCCAATAAAGCAAGGCTCATGGCTGCCCACCCGCAGAGACCCCTTCCCAGCCCTCTGACCTACAGCTGCTGTAAGTAAGGTGCTGTCCCAGCTGAGGAAGAATTCCGCTTACCATGAGAATGATGTGCCCTTCCACTTTGCCCTTGAGAAGAGAAGGAAGGCAGAAAGCTGCTCTGTAAAATTCATTTCTAGAAGGGGCCATCCATCAAGCCACAGCTCTGCGCTACCTCCTTATTTTGGTGAAATGTGGGTTTTGTTTGTTGTTTGTTTTGTTTTGTTATGTTTTCTTTGTGAAGCCCTGGCTGTCCTGGACCCAATTTGCAGACCAGGCTGGCCTCGAACTCACAGAGATCTGCCTGACCCTGCCTCCCAAGTGCTAGGATGTGGGTTTTCAACAGTCAGTTTGGGTCTACTTGGCACCAACAGAATTTTGTCTTTCATCTTCCCTGTCAAAGCCTGGGCCAGGCCTCGCTGTCTCTAAGAAGCTCACATCGAGTTTGGTGGGAAAGGGGTGACACAGAGTGAGCACAGAGCATCTGGCTGTGCACAAGCCCAACAGCCAAAAGGCAAGTGTCAGAAAGGACACTGGAGGGGCAGGGAATGCCGGACCAAGCTGAGCATCAAGAATAAGGACAGGAATGGATTAGAACAGATAGAACAGAACTGAATTCATATGAGAAAGGCAGGCAGGCAGGCAGAGATAGAAAGAGAGACAGACGCAGAGATCTGAACAGACACACACTCAAGGAGCCATGTGAAAATGAAGGCTGAGCTCAGGGCTACTTCTCCAAGGCCAGGGATTCTGAAACAAGAAGAGAGAACTGACTCTCTCCACTCTCCCCCTCCTGTTCTGTGAGAGGCAGGTTGACCATGAGCCTCCGGGGCTCTTTGGCTGGGGCTGCAGTGAGCACATCCCTGACCTGGTCATATGAGGCCCTGGGCTCAGCCCCAGAAGTGTCCCTTTCTCCACAAAATAAAATAAAATAAGTCATGTCACGCCCTACCACACGACCTTGTACCCCTCAGCCCTTGCCCATGCCAACTCAGAGCTCACAGGCTCCGTGGCCCATCCGTGCACAAGATGGGAGTCTCTGCTGCCACAGTAGACTCCTCCAGAAGACAAACATCATAAAGTCTTGCCACTTCGTCAAGTTGGACAGTGCAGAACTGCTCGGGTTTTTTGAGACAGGATCTCACTTTGTAGCCCAGGCTTCCCTGGACTTCACTACATAGCACAGGTTGGCCTCAAGCGCTCAGCGGTGCTGTGGCCTCAGCCCCTGTTGCTAGAGTCATAAGCACAGGCTAGCACTCCCAGCTTTATTTTTGTCTCTGACCCTGCTGCCTGCTTATCTAAGGAGTGGACAAGGCTTCTCAATGGCTTGTTTGCAATTAGGAAAAAGAAAAACCCTCCAGAAGCAATTGTGAGAACAGGTGGAGTCGTAGAATCATCGTGTCTGCAGTGCCAAATTGCCTGAGCGCCGGCTCCACACAACCTAGGTCACCGTCCGGAGTGACAGTGTGTGTGGGCCAAGGGCCCCACCCTCCATGACCTTGGCATGGCCCCTCCACCGCTCTCAAGCTGGCGAGGCTCACTTACCAGGTGAAGGCTGGACCACAGTCAGGTTGACAGGTAAGGACTTGCTGGCCTGCGAGCCCTTCAGCTCGGCCACACAGGTCACCGTGCCATTGCCCAGTGGAGTGAGATCCAGGACACTCAAGACCCGCAGAGAGCTGCCGGGCTCCGGAAAGGAGGAGTAGCTGGAATGGCTTACTGGAACCGCAAGCTCCCAGGAAATATCCGGGAGAGGGGTCCAACCCAGGGCATAGCAAGTCACGTTACAGGGTTCGCCCTCAGTGACTACAAGGTTGTCGCTAGGAGTGTCCAGGGTCCCCATGACTAAAGAGAAGAGAGAAACAAGCTAGAGAACAGCAGCCAAATGATTACCTCAATTTTGGCTTCAAATTACATCTCATGAGACTTTCTCTCTAAGCTCCAGAAAGGCTGTGTCTGTCCCAGGAACCACAGTCCAGGTTTTAGCTGCCATTTCTGTGAGTACCTGCTGGGCTCTTACGAGAGGCTGAGGTGGCTCCCAAGAACAACGGGGAAATAAAAGCCAAAGACCACTATCTGAGCTACAGGACTGACTCAGGCAGTCCTGGAAACCGAATCAAAAAGGGAAATACTATACTCTTTTCCCAGAGACTCACGAAAAGCAAATCTCTCCCTTTAAGTTTGGGCCAGTCACCTTCATTTTATAATTCGGGATCATAAACATTTTTGTTTTGTTTTGAGACAAAGTCTTGTGTAGCCCAGGCTAGCTCAAACATTCGTCAGGGAAGACAGGAGTATGTCACACCACCCAGCAGTAAACTTCAAAAAAAAAAAACAACTGCCTTGGATATTCCTTTTAAATATGTTTCTAGATATAAATTCCATCAAAAGCAAATTTTTTATGAACCGAATTAACCCAATTAAATCTCAGAATTCTTGACTCAGATCAGTATTTTCATAAAGAACCCACTTGCCCCTGGCGGCCTTCACACTACAAGGAATCCAACTGAAAATGATGTTTACTTGTGCTGACATTGCCAAAATAACCTGAAGGGTGGCCCCAGCAAAGACACAGCCTTAGGGACATGCACATGCATTCAAATGTTCAAACTCCAGCACACTGCAAGGCAGGCGCCCAGCTGCCGGATAGGATGGAAAGAACACTGGAGTAAGGATCAAATCACTCTCCTCTCAGCCGTGGCTCTGCATAACCCCTCGCTTAGAGTAAAACACTGAATTTGGGGGTGTGGCTCCCCTGACCTCTGCATTTCCCATCTCTGAAGGGGCTAATTTAACTAGAACACATGATCTTTAAACACTTTGGCTTAAATTCCTTTTTCAAAGCCACTGCAGACTCCAAAGACATTGCTTTGTGTGGACAGTAAGTACATAAATTTCTCTGAAACATTTACTTAAAACCAACAATCGCAGCTCGTTACAAGTTGGCATAAATGAACACAGTCCCACTAAACTGTATTTTTAAATTAATAAAAAAATAAACCAAGTGGCAATGTTTATCTATGCAAATCTATATTATGTTCCGCTGGATTTTCAAGCTGGCAGCTTCATTCATGTGTTACAGGCTTGTTTTGTTTGAAGAGAGCAGGAAAAAGCCTGAGTTCCCCCCGAAGCACAGCTGGGGCAGCAGAGCACCGAGCGGCCTTTTTAAAGAACCGTGGGTATTCTTCAATGCCAAAAGGCGAACAGAACTGTTCTCTTGGAGGTTAGCTCAGGAGGCTACCTGAAACCCGAGGCCACAGTGAGGGCATTCCCTCTCTCCCTCTAGACCACGGCACTTGGCTGGATTTTGCCCTCATGTGGTTTTATTTTAATCACGGTATGCAGACATGTGGACAGGGCTGGCCTGTGGGTGAGAAGACGTCCCCAGTGTGCAGTGCCCCTGTGTACCCAGGAAAATGAAAGTGGAAAAGAGTTGGCAGCAAGCTGGCCTTGTCTCAGGTCATGATGAGACGTCACATCCCGCAGCGGCGGGGACCAGAGTGACCTGTCTACCATGTGTCCTCCCTCTGAAATGTTACACTTCCTGGGTGCCGGCTTCGGATGAGTGAAATGTCTGTGCTGCTCTCAAACACTCCTGTGAAGGGGCCGAGCAGTAGAGAAGGGATCGGTGTAAATCTGAAGGCTTAGGATTTACATGTCCACTGTTTTGTCAAGGCCTCTGTTTGTTTGATGGAGAGGAGGTTTAGGAAGGCAGACGGTGGGGGCCTCCCCATAGGTCAGCAGATGTCACTGGCTGCCAAGCCTAATGGCCTGAGGTTGAGACCCAAGACTCACGTGCTGAAAAGAGAAGCATGTGTGCACAATAAACAAATATCAAAAATAAAAGTGTGATGACAGGCCCTGGCGGGGGAGGAACTACCCTAGGTAATGACAGAACTTGAACTCGGGTCCTTCTGGATCTCGGGAAGCACAGGTGCAGCAGAGGCATGGCTCACTGGCAGGTGTGGACCATGCAGCTGTGTGGAGTTCCTGTGTACGCTGCTGCACTCACGCTTGCCCCTCCCCCGCTGGCTTTCACTTTGCTAGCTCCTATCGTGAGAGACACTTAGGAAGTCTCTAGACTATCCACACTGATGAAGAAGACTGGGACTGGAGTTGCACCTGCTCTGTTGAGACACAGGGAGGAAAGGTAAATGGGCCTTGGATAATTCTGGGGCATTCCCTCTTTCTCCATGATTGGGATCCTGGGAGGAGCCTGCAGCTTAGTGTCCCAAGACAGCGGTGCAGCTCTGTCCCTCTCCTTGTCCTTGGCAGGACGGGGAGAAAGCTCTTATAGCTGTGCATGCTGTGAGCACAGCAGAAGGGGGCCCTGCCTTCCAGTCTGTACTCCTTGGTGTAGGACTCCCGTACTCGTCAGCCCCGAGGGCTGGCCATGAACTGAGATCCCCACCCCACCAGCCCCTAAAGGACTGAGACCCCATTCCTGCTGCCTCTGTGGAACCTCTTTCTACTCTCTCAGAGCTTCCCATTTCAAGAACACACTATCTACAGGTCTTTAAAATGTGTCTCTTAAGGTCTGCTGTCCTGAAGTATCGTGTGTGTGTGTGTGTGTGTGTGTGTGTGTGTGTGTGTGTGTGTCCCCACCAGCTGGGATTGCAGGCATGTGCTACCACACCCAGATTCCCCACTTGGGGTCTGGGGATTCAGACTTTCTTGCTTGCTTTGCAAGCACTTTCTGACTGAGCCAGCGCTCTTCCATTCATCTTTGGGTCACACTAAGCACTTAGACTAGGGATAAAAAATGTTCACATGGCCATCTCCATGAGCCAGGCTCTGTGGAAACGGCTTTCTACTGACCCACTCACCCACACTACAACAGCCCTGCGAAGAGGAACCCAGGGTCCAAAGTCGGGTGCTTTGTTCCAAACCATGCAATTCTAAGCAGCGAAGACAGGCTGGGAAGCAGGAAACCAGGCTCCTGAGGCTGCACTTCTACCCACTAGACTGCTCTGCATGTCCAGCTGGGTCAAGACAAGCCACACGCGACAAAGCTTTGGAGGCCCTGTGGTTTTGTTGCCTGACCTCACAGCAAGTGTGTGAGCTGAGAAAGGAGCCTCCTCCCACCCTGCAGATGAAGGAAGGGAGCCAGTACAGGATGTCACTCATTGACAATTGGTCAAGGCAAAACCAGAGCTCATGTCTTTGACTCCATTTCCTGTGTTCTTTCCATTGTAATTGAATTATTATCAGAGAAGCTGTGCATGCAAACTAGGCCAAGAGCTTTACATAACCCCATGAAAACATCAACTTAGAAACTATCACTATAGCATAATTAAACAGTACAAAATTAAAGATGCCATGAAGTAAAGAACCACCAATTTAATTCAATTTCTAAAGTAAAAGTTATTTTTAAATGCAGATACAAATAAATAGACATGCTTCCACCAAATATAATTACATTTGATTTGACAGCAGACAGAATCTGGGATTTCACCCAGGCAAGGAAATAAGGGTATTCAAGAAATATCCTCAAAGACATAGCTTTTTTTTTTTTTTTTTATGAGAAATGTTGTCAGTAAAAATCTCTAGAGAACTAGGAACAAGGTCCATGGATAGAGACCAAAGGACCTGGGTTTGGTACCCAACACCACAAAAAAAAAAAAAAATTGTAACACACTAGTCAAAGCCTCTATCAATAGTACATAAATGCACAAGGTGCAGGGGGTCCTGACTTAGGGAAGGGGATCTAAACCTCATAAAACACACCCTTTATCTTTACCATTGTGTGAAGCTCTGCAGCAGACCAAATTACCTTCACAAATGAAAACAAGCAGCTAGTATAGCCTAGTGGTCTACCCTTTTCTCTCAGCTACATGGCGTATTTGGAGAACACACACCTTTGACTGTGCTGCAGTCACTAGGGCAAGAAGAAAAACAGATCAGAAAAATTCAAAGAGAGCAAATGGCTAAAGCACGCATCCACGCTGATAATGAGTACAATGTGTGAGCCAGGACTGAAAAGGCTGGAGAAGGGGCCGTGGCCACCTCTGTCCAAATCTGAGGGGCTGCAGCATGCGGAGAACTCGGGGAGACAGTTCCAGAAAGGCAATCAGACGCTGGAGTAGATTGGATAAACCCATCTCAAAGGGGATAGCGAGGAAGGGAAAGGATTAAACAAGGAAAGGAGGGGAGGGGAGAAGAGGGGGGGAGACATCAGCAAAGCTTTAGCTTGGAACCTGCAGAGTAATGGAGGGACAGAGGGACAACAGCTACACACAAGGTAGCCACCAGTTCAGAATTACAATAAGCACCAGCCCACCTGAAGGTGGGCCCCAAGTGTGACACAGCTTGGGCCTCAGAGGCCCTTGCCCCCCTCCCCTGCCTCACCTTGCACTGACAGGAAGGCAGATCCAAACACATCGCTGTTCTGCAGGCTACACTGCACAGGCCCCGTGTCGCTGGGCTGAACGTCGTGGATGACCATCTCAGAAATGAAGCTGTCGCTCGAGTTGTAGCTGGCCGAGGTGAAGCGCTTGTTGGTGATGATGGGCTCCTGAGAGGTGACACTCAGCTCCACGACACCTTTGAGGGACCACATGATGAGCTTCCAGCCGTGAGTCACGGTGCAGTTGAAGCGAGCATCTGCACCCTGCAGGACTGTCGCGTTCTGAGGACCTTCTACGATCTGATAGCCACATCCGGACCCTGGAAAGCAATCGGTTTCTCAGGGCAGTCTGTGAAGCAGCTGACATGAATGATGGCATGTAACCTTCGGTTTGCCAGCTATTCTGAAGGCTCAGCCTCTCTGCCTTAGGGGTCATGAGGGGACTGGGACTTCTGGTAGATACAAGGCCAGGGCAAACCTCCTTCCTTCCGCTCTCCCTAGATGGGCGGCACTGACTTGAAAACCATTGCCTGGAGGCTCAGTCACCAAAGCCATAGCACGTGGCATCTAAAAGTAGAGTTTTTGCAGATATACTTTGTCAACAATCCTAACACAAAATCATCCTGGACGCAGGATGTACCTCAAGTCCAATCCCAAGCGTCTCTATAAGAGAAAGGCGGGAGCCTGAGACACGGGAAGAGAAGAGGGAAGAGCTCATTGTGGAGATGGGACTGAGACTCTAGAGACTCCCGGCACACAGAGCAGGGATGACAAGGCTCACTACACTCAGCAAGCGGAGACCAGATTCTCCTCACAGAAGCCAACTCGGACCAGTCCCGACCACACGCAGGACTTAGGGCCACATCAGTGGACAGGACCCACGTTCAGGCCTTGTCACCCTGAATCGCAGTCTTCCCTGACTCTTGTCACGCAGCAGACCCACTGAAACAGCTATGCCCTGGTTTCACTCCAGCACTAGCCCCTCAATCAGGATATTCCTGTCAATTTTGGTGTTATTTGCTGTTATTTGGCCCCTATGGGTCAAATGCTAGTCCTCCATGTACACTGGAGAGTCCCAAATACCCTAGTTCTCCTCTTCTCGCCTTGAAGGGCAAATGTGAGGCAGTCCCTAAAGGAAACTGAGCGGAGCCCTGAGCATGCCCAGGCAAGAGCTGCACAGTGACACACAGCCAAACACTGGCTCCTCATGGCCACCCAGGATGTACCGTGGGGCGGAGCTTCCTCATTCCCGCTTCCTCATTTCCACAAACGGAGAAAAAGACGACGCACACACCAGGACCAGCAGAGAGAAGGGTGCTGGGAAGAGAAGGCAGGAGAGCCAGCTGCTGCGTATCCCAGGTCACAGGAAGCCAAGGCAGTGACCTGGAGGCAGAAACTGAGTCAGAGGCCATGGAGGAACACTGTTTACTGGCTTGTTCCCCATGGTTTGCCCAGCCTGCTTTCTCACACCAGCTGCTGGGAGACTGCATGGCCCACGGTAAGCTGAGTCCTCCCGTGTAAATCATTAACCAAGAAGATGCCCTGCAGACGTGCCGAGGACGCAGGGGGACGCGCTTTCCTCTTCCGGGTTGACTCCAGCCAGTGTCAAAAACCAACCATGGCAGACGCCAAGCGAGCTACAGAAACCGTGTCAGCTCCGCCACAAACCTGGCATTACACTGAAGAAAACACACTAACTCACATGCCATGACAAACCTGGCATTACACTGAAGAAAACAGGCCAACTCACATGCCTTGGGACAGAGGAGATTCACATTTCCCAGTAGAGAAAGCGGGCGGCCGAGCAGAGCCTGGAGGGCTGAAGGAACGCGGTGGGAGGAGCACACGGCCTGCAGGGCTGGAGGGTGGCGTGGGTGTGCGCCACCTCGGGTTACTCCAGGGACCGAGGAGCCACAGGCCAAGCCAAGCCTGCCTTACACTCCTGCGAAGGACCAGGCCAGGAGGAGCCCCGGCCAGGGGAGTTGCTTTTGAGTTTGATGCTACCTGTCCTTGCTGCTGCTGTTTTCTTGTTTGAGTTCTGGTTTGCTTTTGAGACAGGATCTCATGTCTCACAAGCTGGCCTTCAATTTGGGATGTAGCCAAAGATGCTCTTGAACTTCCTATCCCTCTGCCCCCAGCTTCCGGTGCCACAATTAAAAGCATGACCACACACACACACACACACACACCCTGAGTCTGTGGTGCTGGGAAACAAGCTTGGGGCCTCCCGCATGCTTGGTGAGAATTCTCCCACCTGACCCTTTGATGAACTAGGTGACTACCAGCCTTAAAGCACAATTCCCTGCAAGCGCGGCCCCTGGGGGTCCACCATCTGCTCTCAGCTGCCCCTGTGACAGGGCCACACCCCACAGCGCCTTCCTCCGCCCTCTGGGAGCGACCTCGCCCCACACAAGGCAAACGTTAGGAACCACTTTCAGATAAGACCTCCGCTTGGCCACGTATATTGTGCACCTCCGCTGCACAGTAGGACAGAACGCTGAGGAAAGCCAGGGGTCCCTACCTGAAAGCTCTCTGAGGTGCCACTCCACAAATCTGGGGTGTCTGCTGGATGGAGGATTCCCCGAGGAGCTCCTCTGCCTGGAAGGCCGACATGTCTCTCACCCTGCAGGGTGTGTCTAGAACTGCCTGCCACCTCGACACTTGAGCAGGACCCTTTCTCCCCACCCCCATCCTGACATTGCTGCAGTTTATATCCCTCACTGGGGGTCAGCCGGGCTCTGCGCCTCCTGCTGGTCCTCTGACTGATCACAGAGCTGAGAAAGCAGCTCGGTTAGGAAAGGGCTGGCTGAGCAGGAGGCGCTGGCTTACATCCCAGAACTCACACAGGCAAGCTGGGCGTGGTGGTTCGCCCTTGTAGGCGCAGCGGAAAGGAGGAAGAGACAGGAGGTTCCCTGCGGCTCACTGGCTAAGCAAAACCCCAAGTTCTGGTAAAAGTGAGATACCCCGTCTCTAAAATTCAAGATGGATAACCTCCTAAAGAATGACACCCCAGCATGACCTCCGACCTCCATGTGCATGTGGAAACAGTCTCCTTGACCTAAGAAGCTTCGCTCTGTGCCAATCCTCTCTCCACTGCCCTGGTCCATCCCTCACACCCCATCCTGACTTCATTGCTACCCCTGCCAGCCCCACCCTTTCTCCTCACTCAGTTCACCAGCGAAGGGAAAGCAGACGGGATGGGAGGCTGATGGCTGGGGAGGAACAAGGGATGGTGAGTAGAGGGCAGAGAGAAGTGTCTGGGTGATGGACCTTCACAGGAACCGAGAACGGGAGCCAGCCACAGATGCTGGGACCCTGAGGAAGAATGGAATGAGATGCTGAGGGGAGCCCCAGCAGGTCTGAACTGTCTGCTAGGCTCCTGGGACAGAAAAAGCCAAAGTCGCTGCTGGGCCGCCAGCTGTGCCCACACAGCCAGGGAGCACCTCCAAGCACCTGTCTGCTGCACCTCCACACCCAGACCTGAGTGCATCGCCTCAGAGGGCAGAGAGCCACTCGATCTACCAACACCAAGCTCCGCCCCCAGCAACTTCCTCTGCATCTCCTGCTGTCCCTTGAGCCACCAAACCTCCTTAAGATACCAAACTGATCAAGTCTTTCTGGCCCAGGGCCTTTGCATGTGAGCAGCCTGGACTCCAGTGTCACTGGCTCCTGGGCTCCTGGGCTCCTGGCCCGGGCTTCTGCCCTGGGGGACACCTTCCCAGACTGTGCTGTTTATGCTGAACTGAGCTGCGTGGGCCCTATACTGAGAAGCTTCTTCCAACAGTTGTCACAGTAGTGACTTCTTTTGTTTGGGTGTGGTTCTGCTCTCACTCAATGCCTGTCTGTCCTACCTGCTCTAAGCTCTGGTGTCTATGCCTCAGCTATGGCTCTGCTCTCACTCA